CAGAGGAGATGTTTTCACTTTGCTGCCAAATGATTTTAATGACCTTTTTCAGGACATGGTATGCACCATGTAACAAAATGATTTATCTGTCTCTATGTGTGAGATGTATAAGGTGTGGCATACTGAGGTCAGTGTTATTTTGCCTAAAACTACAGTGTTTCTCACATCACTGTCATGCTTGATACTGTTACGACCTCTGTTAGTCCCACAGAGAGGTTATTACAAGGGCTGTGAATTTAGATAAGCAAAACCAGACTTGCATAGTGACTACAGCTCCTAGGTCTGTGTACTGTACTGAGCAACTACCCTGAGACACAGGAGCTGTGAAAGGAGGAATTCGGTTCACATGGATCTTCACATCAAGTCATTTCCAGGGGCTTTCAGCTGTCCTGATTCTTCTCTGCATTGATTATCCTGAGTCAGCATTTTTATGTGCTATCAAACAGACTTTGCATGTGACCTGATGTTTTTAGTGGAGAGTAGAGCTTGTAAGGGTCAGTGTTGGCAGCAGAGGCTTCTGCCATTTGTACTGACGAAGTATTTCACTATGGTACAGTTCTTCCCAAGTGAGGGTGGGGTGTGACAGTTCTTGGCAGAAACACTGTACTTCCCAGTTCAAAGTAGCGTGCCTCAGGCATCAGAAAGCACAGGAAGCCAAATGCCTCCTTCTGAGCCACTTGCTAATATTCTTTTACAGGTATAAACCCTCAGTGTTAAGCTTCCTGCTGCTGGTGTTTGGTCCTGTGGTCTGGCCTTGCACACAGGTGCAGTAGGCAGCCTCTTCACTGGCACCATGGAACATTGCTTCTTAGAGCTCATCCAAAGTCTAGGAAAGGTAATGGAGGTATTTCCAGTCAACCTCAGTGGGCTATGGGGCCAGGACAAAGGTGTGGTTTCTGTGTCATTGTTAAAGTTAGCACATAAAAAGAGAGCCAGTGCTGCTGCTGCTTCTTGGGAAGTGAAAGGCAGTACAGTTCTTAGTTGTTACAAAGTGAGGATCCAGACTGCCTGCAGAGCGTTGAGATGTTGAACTTCACTTGTGAGAACGGGGTGTTCAGCAGCTTGCTAGTTTGGTCCCTAATTGGCAGAATATACTTGTGACTCTGCATTTAATCATGGTTACTGATTGGAGTAATTTCATCAAGGAACTGATTGGGGTAATTTGGAATAGGCCCCACTGGTGAATGCCCATATTTAAGATTGATTGCCCAGTGGAGACAATAGTTAGTAAAAGATAGGCTAGAGGGTAGACAGTAAATAACTCCCATGTTTCTGGCATGGGGTACTCTAGCCTTGTCCACTGGCAGTTCCCTTTCACTTCTCAGGGTGGTGAGAACCCCGCAGTCTCAAGATATTAATAGGCAGCGAGGTGAGGAAGCTTGCTGATGATAGTACATTATTCAGATCAATGAGGAAAGGGCAGCCTGAAGAACTCTGGAAGGCCATTGTGGGGCTGCAGTTCAGTGCTCAGTGGTGGTCAGATAGGTAAATCAAGCATTAGGAATGATCAGGAAAGGCATAGATGATAAAACAGCAAACATCGCCATACCATGGCACAAGTCAGTGGTTTTCTTTCCTGTGTGGTTCTGGTCCTGTCAGTTCAAAGACGATTTTATAAGGCTGGAAAAGGATCAAGGAGGAGCAACAATGATACGCAAAGGTAAGGAATGACTTTGACTTGAAGAATGACTGCAGAGGCTTGAAGCTTGTAGGCTGGAAAAGAGACAACTTGCCAGGAATAGGATGCAGATCTAAGCTTAGGAGTGGCAACAGATAGGTGTGGATAGGGGTCAGCCATACAGTGTCCCTTCCAAAACAGCAGTATCACACGCAGCTAGCAGCAGTCAGGTTCAGAGATGGTTCTTCTACAAGATGTTGTGGATGCCAGAACTCTCTTTGGGCTCAATAAAAAGCTGCAGTACCTGGAGGAGAAGTCCACTGAGGAACCTAAACATGGAAAAACCCCATGTGGCTCAGGAAACCCCCTGACCTGAAAATAGATGCAGGCAGGGAGAGTAGAGCAAAGGAAGTATCATATAAGCTTGTCATTTCTCCTTCTTCAGTACCCATTTGTGGTGACTGTCAAAGTCCAGATACTGGGTACAAGGACTTTTGGTCTGCCACAGTATGGGTGTTCTTGTGAAACTGGTATTTCTGTAGGGTGCCTCAGAGAAGAGGCCAATGGCAGCCCCTCTGAGATCCCCATGGCAGAGCTGTGTCTATGTGCAGCACTGTAACCTAGCATGCTCTGTGCCATGTCTACCTCTGCCTTGTTTATACAGTGTGCACTTTCTTCCAGATGTTTGTATGAATTATAACACCTTAATAATCTATTATTTGTATGTTAAATTATAGAAGGGGGTGTTTTCTGCTTTTTTTTTTCTTGTAATAAAAAGCTGTTGTTAGGTGTAGTGTTTGAGGGGAGATATGTAGACCCATTGGACTTCATCGTCATGAAAAAGAATCCTTGCTTTTGCCATTTCTTAAAGCTTTGGGTGCCATCTGCTGGGTTCAGTAAGACCTTACACACTGGAGCAAAATTTGTTAGTGGCTGGTTGGAAAGTACGTGACGAGCTGAATTTACCCAGGGTTGCCATGTCTTTGCTTGTAGCTGCTGGTTGTTTTGGCTCTGATGGTGATAATGTAACCCAGGTATATGGGATCTACTCTGCCAAAAAAGAGAAGTGTCTGCTTAAGTTCCCTTTTAAAGATACCATTCCAACTGAATTCTGTAATGGTTCTCACTATGTTTGGTCACATAACACCAAAACAGTGGAAGGAAATAAGGATTATCAGGCATTGTGCCCTGGCTACACGTTGCAGGAGTGGAGCCCACTCTGAGCAGCATTCTGGCTGCTGAAGGCAGAGACATACCTGTTCGATATGTGGCATAGGTGTGTAGCAGCAAGATACAGCCCTGTACACTGAATGGTGAAGGGGTAATGTGTGAGTGGTACCACATCAGTGAGGCACAGCTCCATCCTCTGCAGTCAAGGCACCTGGTGACAGTGAATTGTCATCTCTGGGCTTGCAATGATGTCCCTAGCTCTTACCTTGAGAGCATCCAAGAGCAAAGAGGTTCAGGTAGCTATGGGCTGAAGCAGACTTTGCATGTTCATCGTCCAGAGGAGATGGCCAGCTATGTGTTTGCAGAAAAATGGCAGACAGTGTGATCTGTGTGAGCAGCTGAGTTCAAACACGCACGGAGCTGTAACAGTTACACACAGCACTGTCGTAGGACATAGCTGTCACTGTGAGACCCCTGAAGAGTAAGTAATATGCGTTTGGTTTTTATTCTTCAGAGTTATTTCACTCTTGCTCCATAATCTGATGATACAGGAATTTGGTAGCTATGCTGACTTGTGCAGTCCCATCCTCTCATCCGTGACTTCCTACTTGTTGTCTCCCCAAGCCACAGTACTCCTTATCCCCATGCTGTATGTGAGGCCATACTGTGTACTGCTGAGTTAAAAAGAACCAAACAAACCAAAACTACAGCACGATGAAAGGAGTTATATTTAACTTGACCAATTCCTTTTTCTTTGTATTGCAGTGTAGCCTCACAGACAGTTGGGTCAGCACAAGAAAGGGAAGCCTGGTGCCTGCAGCACTGAGCGGGGAGAAGGGACACACGGCTGAGGAGTGAGACCTCTGTTCAGCACTGCTTTTGAACCCCTGGGTCACCCAGCCAGGGCTTGGCTTCTATGCTGGGAATGCCCCAGCCACTGGTAGGCAGGTGCCTGCGAGGAGACATCTGGTTTCTACATCAGCCCTGGGCTGCTGGGCTGCTCACAGTACTGTGTGCTGCAATGGGACCTGCTGAGTTCCCTATGTCCAGCACTGCTCTACTTTGGGGGCTTAACAGGATGCATAAAAGCAGGGTCCTTGCTGCTAGGCGGAGGTACATTTTGAGTTTTTTACTGCATGGGCTGAAAAGAGAGTAGTTTAACAATAGTGAATCCTCAGAGCATATTTGGATGTTCTTTTGTGCATTCACAATACTTCACTGACTGTACACCTGTTATTTATAAGAAGATGGGTAGAAATGAACACATGAATGAGGGATAATGAAGCCTTTTCCTTTGGTTTCATTCTTTCCTTGCGTATCAAGAGATGGCAGTATATTATTCCATCCAATTTATAAAGACTTACAGCCTTCTCTGCTGTAGTAGGGGAACCAGATTCCTTCAGCGTCTTAGAGAGGATGTTCGGTCCCAGGCAAGTAGGCAGCCTGGCATCTTGGAGTTGCAGCAGTTTGTCACCACACACCAGTACTGCTTTGATCAGTAAGGGGAAGAGATCCTAAATTTTGCTCAAAAGAATAAAAAATGTTTTAAAATGTAAAGGTTCCTGGTACAAGCAAATGAAAAAGATTACTTCCGATGGTGTTGTGGTTTGAGTGATCCTCCATCTAGAACATATGGCAGTTTTACATAACTGTTGGCAAACAACAGCAAGAGTAAAACAAAATAAAAGTGTATAGGAAGAAAGCTAAAACTTGGCCCAGAGAAAGGCAGTTAGAAGGAAAAATCTGTTTCAGCTGCAAGTTCATGCTTAAACAAATTTAACATAGTCTTTGAAAACTAATTATGTCCAGTGTTCAGTCTGGATGCCTTACGTATGACAAACCACAATGAGAAACAGACTTCCTTCCAGTGTTTATACATTGAGCGTTAGACCTTGAACCATAGCATTTGTAGACTCCATTGAACTCTAGATCACTGCTAGATTTCTGTAGCCTTTGAATTCATATCACAATGCATTAAAATTATTTTGGGCAAGTGCTGCCAGTGGCAACTCATGCATAGTTCATAACCAACATCTTTTTTATTTTATTGTGCTCTGGTTTTGCTGCCTTTGTCCCCCCCCCAAGTCATCTCCATGTTAACATGATGCTTATAGGCAGTGTTCTCACAGAGGTGACTGTGTGGTGCCTTCATGCTTCTGTATAGTGATTTGATTTCTATGTTTGTCTTATTTTATTAATTAATATCTTTCAGCACCCCCAGATTCAAAAGGAATCACAATATATCAAGTACTTATGCTGTGATGATCAAGCAACCCTGCATCAGTGGGTAACAGGAATAAGAATTGCCAAGGTGAGAGTAAAATTACTTAAATATGTTTTCTGTAAAATCATCTTGTCTTCCTCATGTTACTGACTGTCAGCACCTCAGCTGGAAATGCTGTGACAAGAATGAACATCTGTGCTAATTTTGCCCTAGGAAGAGAGAGTAGAAGGGCATGACCAGGATGGATTTGCTGAATGTTCCTGTACCTTAGTTATCAGTGTGTTTCTCATTAACACAGGTGAATTCTGTAGCTGTAAAACTCATGTGCTTGTAAAACTTACTCCACAGTTATCTGGCACAATAATAACGGGCTGCGGCTAAAGGTGTGCAAGCTCTGGTCAGTCCAGATGAGACATTTTTCAGACAGTTCTGTCCATATTGTCTACCTCACCCTCTTCAGAAGGTCTTAACTTACAGCCCACTTAGTTTTGCACAGAACATTAAGGGAGATGGATTTATATGTAGCCCATTATACTGTCTGTGTCTGGCTATACAGACCTACTCCTGTTAGGTATATATTCTTTTCTGCCAGTTCTGCTGCAGGGATGGCATCCAACAAAGGTCTGGGGTGGTCATCAAGTTATTTTGTATCTTACACTGACAGAGCTGTTTTCTCTGGAGCCCAGGATTCAGTGTCCCAAGACTCCAGTCTGAAAATGTAATACTTGGAAAGCATTGCAGAAAGATAGTTATTGAGAACATTTGGTTTTCAAGCCAAGTTTCAAGATTTTTACAGATACTGAAATGAACATAAAACATGAGAATGGTATCAGTAGGACTCTCTCTGGTCACGGGGGTTTGTGTTTTATTGTGTTGTTAGGGAGATGCTTTCCACCTGGCCCTGTGCAGAAATAGGGACACCACTTGCAGAAAGCTATTTTTGAACAGTGGGTGGAAAGAATGGGGTTGGAAAAGTTTTCCAATAGCAAAATGAGTGCTTGGCCTCTGTCAAGCTTAATACCATGCTTATTGTATTGCTTTGGTTTGCAGTATGGCAAGCTGCTATATGATAATTACAAATGTGCAGTGAAGAAGGCTGGCTTGTCCTCTCGGTGGGTGAATCAAGGAACAGTGGAACCAGCTGCCCCTGCAGGATCCTTACCAGCAGGTACTAATGATGTCCCAGCAGTTGAAATCACATTTATTGCCCTCTTCTGTCATCATCATCAATGTTGAACATAGTCTTTGTTCAGAAAACTATCCCTTCATTCAGCAAGATAATGTTTTGTTCCGGACAGCTCAGTGTAGCTCTGATCTGCCTGTAACTAAGCTAGCAGCAGAGCTCTCACTTTAAAGTTAGCACTTAGAGAATCCAAAAACAGTCCACTGAAGATCAGTTTAAATCTGCATAATTCAATAAGGTGTTTTTTCTGTTGGCATCTGAATACAAATGCTTTATCCTCCCTCTACATTTTACCAACTGATGGTCCATGTCTTGAAGTTTTCTGTTTGCCCATCTCTTACCCTGGCTATATCAGAGCTTTTCTTCCAGTGAGTGAAAGGGATGAGTGGGATCTCACTCTGTAAATGATCATTTTAGAGATTATTATAGGGTGAGCCATTCTCTTTCCCAGCCTTTCACTCATGTGTGGTAATAATGTGGGTGTTGGAAAAGATTGCGGAGTAAGAAATGATTGGGTTATTTTCTAACTTTACTTTTCCAGTAGCTTAATCATACCACTGTTACCTATTTTATCATGGTACAGCTAGAACAGTGCATGATGCAAGCTGTAATTTGTATGAATGATTTTAGTTTACATGCTTAAGTTATGCTGTATTTATTAGGAGGGACATGCTGGCTAAGTACTTACTGACATAAGACAGCAAAGTCAAAATCTGTGTTGGCAGTTAATGTTCTGACTTCTCACGTGGACAACTCAAAATCCTCCAAAAACCTTATCAGGGCTTCAGTTTGTCTTTTTTCTCAGTACGTGTGAAAAGAGAGTGATCTTTCTACTACTCCTTGGAGTCAAATCACGGTGATAAATGCACATTTGGGATAGGGAGATTTTGAACAATAACAGGCTGTTCATAATCAAGGGATTTTCTGATGGTTGGGGGGGGGGGGGTATTTTATTGAGAGTGGGTGAGACAGTCTTGGAGCATTTTGTGTTCCGGTATTGATTGCAGAAGAGAAGTGGCTGGCCAGTGGGGCTCTGTGCTGATGCTGCAGTCTGTAGTGGATATGGGCAGGATTGAGGCCTTGTAAAGTATACATATATCTCTATAGCTTCAGCTCCTGACTAGAATGCAAGAACACTGTATGTGATCATGAAGTATACTGCTAATCTTAGCTAATGGATCCCAGTAAATGATTAAGTAGCCTAGAAAGCTTTTAGTCATGTAAGTTGTCTCTATGGAAGTATCTCTGATGGATCGTTAGTGTTCTAATTGAGGCAAGTCACTGTGATTCTTTCTGTCTAACAGTTATCATTACTGCCCTATATAAAACCTGGAACCTGACTGTAATACTATAACCTGAACAGTGTGCCTGTGAGTAGTTGTTGGCTCATGGTTTGGAAATAGAATAAAGCATGTTTTCTTCTGTTCTGCTTTCAGATGGCTGTGTAGCTATTTGTGTGGGCTGATTTCAGTATAGACTAAAATATGCTGTAGAAAACTAGCCCTTGTGACCTTAGCTGGGAACTGTACTCTGTTAACCAGTGGCAGCCACAAGCAGTGTTTAGGAAGGAAGGTGGAACTTCTCACATCCTGTGAAGCCTGTAGTCCCTGGTCACACTACAGTATAGTCTGTGGGTCTGAAGTGTCCCAAGTGCCAGGTGTATCTCAGACAATGTTGTCTCTATGCGTCATTGTGCGTGTCTTTGGATACTAGAAAAAAACACTGTATGTTATGTGCCAGCACACTATTACAGTGTTTGAAGGATTAAGTAAGCTGCTTTATTCAGATGTTCTTCCTGTAGGACTATCAGCTACAACCACGGAGGCATGTGGGCTTTATCATGTGGAGACTTGCTAGTTTTAATGTAAGGTATCATGTTTACTTTCCTTAGATAATGAACTGAATATGGAAAGTTTCAAAAGCCTGAAGTAGAGAACAGACATCCTCATGGATTTTACTGAATTACATATAAGAAACTTGTAACGAGTGGTTGCTTGGTGGAATTTGTAAAGATGTTTTTCTTAGTTTGCAATTCCCTGATCTGGTTAATACCATGAAAATGTAACTCTATTTCCTTTGTCTCCCCTCCTTGTCACAGGTGCTGTTCAGTCAAATGGACAGCTTCCCCAAATTGTTTGTCATTCCAGTGCAGAATTTCCAGAGACTCAGAAGAAAGCAGATACATCAGAGGTACAGGTGAGCAGTTACAAGCAGTGCAGTAGTTAAACGTCACCTGTGAAATAGTTCTTCAAGTTTGTTTTTTCTTCACACACTGTCTTTCCCACTCACAGCGTACTATTATTACAAGCATTTGGCTCCTGGGCAAAGTGTCTGGTTCACTGCTGCCCCTTTTGGGGTTTTACACACTGCAAATGGTGTGCCTGTAGCCCAGAAGCAAGGAGCCACTGATGGGAGGTAAAGGCACAGTCACCCATCACTTTTATTCTTTAGAACAAGCTGTGAGTTCATGTAGCAGAATAGGGATGTGCCTACTGGGACAGTCTCAAAGAGTCTGTGCTGCCAGAACCTCAGTGTAATTTCCTGTGTCTACCAGAAAACAGGTCTTGCCTTAGTAGCACAAAGGGTATAGTACTGTTTTCAGCAGGGAACACAGCGCACAGCTGAAGATGAATGTGTAAGAACTGAGAAAGTGTGAAGATATAAAACATTATATGTCTTCATTAGGCTCTAAATGAATTCCTTGGTTACGCTCCAGATTTTGACTACTTGCACCATCTCTGGCTGTAAAAATATCAGCAGGGTACAGCGTGAGGACTTCAGAAACATCCTACAGAAAAAACAAACCCTGCATATGTTTGCAGTTCATTATTCATTCCCTCCATCATGCATAAAGTGCACAGGACAAATGAAATGAAATTTGTAGGATTTTTTTCTGCCACCTGCATTGTGTGTCCTGTGCTTCTTGTTTCTGTCTTTATAGAGTTCCTCTTTTAAAAAGATTTGTTTCTCTGTTCTGAACCTTACTTCCTCTGGAGCAGGTCACATTCTCAGAACTCAGACAGTGGTTCCCTCCTCCTGCATCTCATTTACTTCCATCTTTGTAGGCAAGGAGAGTGAGGAAGAGAAGGCTTAGAAGTTATACTTAGCTAATGCCAGAATTAGTACTGCTGACTGCAGGGTTGCAGAGCACTTTTCTTTTGCAGAAGCAAACACACTGCTTAACACATTGCTTTCTTCATCTCTCAGTTTCTACAAGCCTGGGACCAAGGGAGCAAGCTGAAGTTTTTCAGGGTGCACTATGCTACAGTTAGAGCTCTAAGCTAGCTGGGGCTAACTTGATACATTAGCATAGCTAGAAATGCGTATGTTACAAATCTTTGTTTTCAGGACAGCAGACTTCTCCACGGGTTTAAAAGAACAGATAGTATGTGTATAGTAACTGTAAACAACTACTAGTTGCTACCTGAAAGAAAGAGCAAATTATATTCAGCTATCACCAAATGGGCTTTATTTACGTTCAGAGTTAACAACTTAAAAGCCACATAAAATTTTGTCAAAATAAACATTTCCATAATTAACTGCTATCCTGCATTTTATTTTTCTCAACTTGTATGATGGATGCTTTGATTAATTTTTTTCCTAAAACATTCATTTTGATTCATTTTTTCAAAAAAGTTGTCAGAGGATTTGATTGCCTCATGACCTTGCAAACATGGCTACAACTTCATAGCTTGAAGGACCTGTTTGTCACATTATTGATTTGAAAGCGGATGCAGCATGTACCTGTGCTTTGCCCAGCAGACAGAAGACACCTTCCCTAGGCTTATCAGTGGCCCTTGCCAGGTCACTACTGAAGCATCTTTCCTATACTGTGCACTGCACAGTCGTGACAGATGGGGCTTTCCAAGTGCCTCTTCCCAGTGCTTGGCAGTGCTCTCCCTCCCACCCAGAGGGGGCCCAGGGCACTTTCCTGCAGATAAATGCTTCACACCATGCCGCAAAGTGCCAGGGACAGCAGATTACAGGCATGTAAAACTTTATATTGCCAAATCTGTCCATCTTCTTCCCAGTTCACTGCTGCTGTGTCTAGTGAGCTTGGCAGATAGGTGACTTCATTATTTTAGTTTTATCCAGAGATACAGCAGTTGCTGCTAGAACAGGAGGTGGAGATACAAGAGCCAAAACTACACCAGCTTTTTATGTTCTCAAATCTTGCTCAGTATTTTTGGATGTAAAAACACAGCACAGATCTTATTTTTATTTTAAGTCTTCATGTTCTCAGGGAATAAACAGCAGGGTGAAAGATCAAGAAAACATCTTTACATGTCTTAGTAACTGCAGTTCTTCTGAGATTTTAAAAGCATTCAGTTTCTGAGGACAGCACTTAAAAGCATTATGAATACTGTTAAAGGTCTGTAGGCAGCTCCAGAAACAAAATAAAATACTATTGGCACTCTTCAGGCAAAATGTACTATACTTCAGTTTGCTGTCTGTCCACTGCAGTCTTCTCATGGATTTTCACATCTTTCACTGTTCTCAAGCCGTAGCATTAGTTTACATGTCCACTGACTCCGTCTTGTCCTTTTATTTCTTCTGCTTATTAAAGGCTAAGTCAAATAACATCAGTGCACCTGGCCTGGCACAGCCAGTGATGAGGCCACAGAAATTCTCAAGTAAGAGGAACTCACTGCAGCCTCCTCCTCCACCAGAAAGGCGGTCATCTGCTATTTCTGCTTCACCAATTCTACCCTCCAAAGTCAAACGAGACAGCGGCATTTTCCTAACAGATCCAGACACCTTTCCAGCACCACCACCTGCATTGAAGGTTGATTTTCCACCACCACCATCTGATTTCTGTGAACCTCCTCCTGATTTTGTGCCTCCACCACCAGCCTCCAGCAGCAGCAATGGAGACGTGCCATTACCCCCTCCACCTCCACCTGCCTCCACTAAGCCACCACCTCTGACAAAGAAACCTGTGCCACTTCCATCAAAAAAGCTGGAAAACACTGGACAAGCTGGAGAGCCACGGTCAGCTGGGCCACTTCCAACTGGGGGTGGAGGCAGGCAGGCAGATTTCATGTCTGACCTAATGAAAGCTCTTGAGAAGAAAAGGGGCAGCAACTCCTGAACTCTGGAAGCAGATGAACTTCAAGCCATAGCTGTTTGTGAGTCAGCATGGTGAAGTTGTGCTGGATCAGGCTCGTCCAGGAGGAGTTCTCCTTCAGAGTTCCTCCTGGGAGGGTCTCAGGAAGTAAGATGGGGTGCCCTCTCTCCACCTCTTTGTCCCTGTAACTTGCCTCTTCTGCCCCTACCCCTCCATTATTAGCTACCATTCTGCCATCAGGCTGAGGTAAGAATTGGCTCTAGTCTTGCTTCACTCCATCAGGACAGCCAGGGGTGGTGGAGCAGCACTCACAGAGCCAGCCAGTGAGGGAACGCTGTGCCTGCCTCTCTAGTAGAGTTGGAGCTGAACAAAAATAGCAACAGTGTTGTGTGAATTTTGAGAAGTGCAAAGATCCCTTTTCACAGAATGCCCCTTAAAGGTTTTTTATGAGAAAACCCCCAACTTTGGGAGTTTTGGTGTTTTGTTTTTTCAATGAAAAAAGATGCCAATGTTTTCCAAAAATAGTCTGTCTTTAAAAGCAAAACCTCAGCTAGATCATTCTGAGATGCAAGGCAGGACCAGGGCCATTTCCAGAGATGGTCACCCCAAATGCTATACACTCCTGCTTCCATATGCAACTCCAGTCATAACTTGTCAGCACTCACAGCTGCTGCTTTAAATCAGATTTAATTTGGTTAATCTTAGACAAAGAAGAATTTAGTTCAGAATCTTGTGTTTCTCGTGGTAAGCAGGATTTTGGTTTTCCTGTTGGTTAACATTTGTCTTCAAACTGTACCTAGAAATAGCCTGTCTTCTCAAAGACTTTGTAATTAACTTGTACCTGATCTGAATGTCTCCTCCTACTTTTTTTGTCCTTTGTTCTCCCATTTTAATTCTCCGTTGTTCGTTTAGGCAGCAGTCATTATTAGTTCTCAAATAAAAATAGCTTTTATTTTATATCTGCACGAAGTGTTGTAGTTAATGAGCAGGCGTTTTACTGGCAATTGGTACCACTTCAAATATTTTAAAGAGGTTTTGTCTGTATGTGTTAGAAATCTGTTTGCTGCAGTTTGAAGGCGGCATACCCCCTCTCCACCATCCCGGTACAGCTACACTGCATGCTCCTGCATTGGCTCTGCTCCAGTGGGGTCTTTGGTTTAGGTGAAGCATTTGACCAACCCAGAAGAGGTAGGGGACTTTTTTGGCTCTCCAAGGTGCATCAGGCTATCAAAGCCTGGCCTTCACCCCCACACAGACACCTTGCAGTCTCTGCACTGACTGACATCAATGAAAATGTTGTTGGTAGAGTCTGAAGGTGTGACACTAACTGAGGTGTCACTTCACCTATGAGGTGTGGACCATTATCTTCCACATTATCCACAAGGTCACAGCACAAAGAGCCACCCTGTTATCCAAGTACAGACGGCAGTACTGGCTGACCTGCGCCGCTTTTGTTTGGCTGGTCCCTACCATGTTTGCACTTTTTCATGGCTGCATGAGTGTAGTCCTCCACAAGACAGCAAAGACCAGGGCTTTGCTGTGATAAAGCACAAACCACAGACACTCAGTATCTGGGAACCAGTCCCTGATAAGCTGGAGCAGTGAAAGGCAAAACATGACCAACTCAAAACAAGGAAGAGCTGGTAGTACCTGCTCAAAGCAGTAAGAGTGAAAGGACAGGCTCCTGGAAGGATGAGTGCAAGGCCCATAAGCTTAGTTCACGCTTTAGTTCCAAGTGCAGGAGAAAAAAAATACTCACTAGCTAAAAATAGGAGGGTTAAAACTAGGGGTTCATAAAAACAGATTAATTTTTTCCAGTGGCTTTCTATATGTAGCTGAGGTAAGCAGTATGCAGATCACTGAATGCTAAAGAGCTGGGTGGCATTTTCTAATAAGGTATTAGGAGTGCCCATCTTCAGCACGCTTGGGTGACAACAGCTGTCTACTATCCAATTATTTTTAAACCAAATGAATTTTCTTTTATGAAATAAACACCCAGCATCAAACTAAAGCAGGATATATCCACAGAAAAATGTTGCACAATAAGCTGGTTTCTTTACGTTCAGAGAGCTAAGACTTCCACATGGCTTTCCCAGCATTCACTCTCCTTACCAGAATGCTCAGCCTCCTGACCTATTTTGTCCCTTGTCTTTTGTTACAGCACAATAAACTCAATCTTATACATTTTGCATCTGCAGTCAATCATAACTCACACAATCTCACACAAAAGAAAAAGTTAAGCTTTCTTCAAAACAAAAGAAACCCACAGAAAACTCCAGAAATCAATTAAAATGATGTGAAGATTAGACCTCTATCAACTATTTTGTGTATTGTACATGCTTGCATTGAATTTGTGAAATGTAAGTATTCAAACTCCATTCAGAGAACAGAGCTACCATCTTAATGATACACAATTATCTGGCTTTATTTGGTATGAAAATACGCTGCAAAGTACAAAAAGATCTTTCTTTCCAAGACTGTAAATCAAAGCATTTGTAAAAAATAGAAATTAATCTTTCCACCTCTATCTAACCTACTGCCACATGAAATTGCCCAATTCCTGCAGACTGGCGTAGTACACTACTGGAGATTACAGTATTTTAGTGTGAAAAGGCCTGAAATTGGAGCATGTTAATCTTAACCTCTCTCCATACCTCAACTGGAAGCAGTCTCAGCAGCTGTCATCTTTGGGACTCTTACATCACTGATGTGGAAGAAGGACCAACTTCAAGTGACCGCTTTTCCATCAGTCCTTAGGATTAGAAAGGTTAGTGTGGAAAAACCTACACATGGGGGGTCAACACCACTGCTCCTTAGATCTGTCCTCTGCTACAGAAAGAGGAAGAGAGTCCAAACACCTCCTTGATTACCAGCCACGGTACTTTTGTTCCCCATCTGTTCTTGCATCCACTGCTGTGTTTATGTAATGTGAAGGAAGAGGCAGCTCCAGAACCACAGATGGAAGCTGACGATTTTAGGGAATATATCATGAAACACAGTATTAATGGTTACACTGTCATAATAAATCATAATGATGAAAACCTAGAAGTTGAAATGGAGGTGGTACTAAATGCTGAGCATGACATGGGCTCATTTCTCTACTGTTACAAAACACAGTTAAAAGGTAGTATTGAGATAACTATTCTGCGTGTGGTTTTCCTGCACTGTCAGGTGGAAAAGTAGAAACTTAAATGGCTCATGTGGCAAAACTATAGGAGAGAGGTATTATTTATGGGTTGTTATTGGCGGTCTCAAAGTAACTGGGAAACATGCATTTTCCGTTTGAGAGTGAAACAGAAGAGAGAGAATGATAGAATGGTTTGGGTTGGGAAGGACATCTAGTTCCAACCCCCCTGCTATGGGCAGGGACACCTCACACTAGACCATGTTGCCCAAGGCTCTGTCCTGCCTGGCCTTGAACACTGCCAGGGATGGAGCATTTACCACTTCCTTGGGCAACCTGTTCCAGTGCCTCACCACTCTCACAGTAAAGAACTTCCTTATATCCAACCTGAACTTCCCCTGTAAATTTAAACCCATTGCCCCTTGTCCTATTGCTACAGATTCAGTGTTGTTAAGGCTTATGAATTCTCATGGTTCTGCAGAATATTCTAAGACAGTTTTATCACCATTAACAGTTAGTACTGACTATTACAAAATTAGAATAGTTACTAAATCTGAACTGTATGGTAAAACCAAGGAGAAAAAAATGGCAGATATGCCAGTAAAACAGGGTAAGAGGACATGACTGAGTCCATGAATGAACTCCTGGAGAAGTAGCTGACCTACTCCCTGCAGCCAGAGGAACATGTGAAACCAGTTTTCAGGGCTTGCTTCATTCTTTCAGATGGTTTTGAAGAACCTGAGAAAAGCTTCACAACGAGCACAGTGGGAAATACGTATCGCTGCTTGTAAAAAGAGTTCCCATTCAGGATGTTCTGGTTTTATATTGTGATGCTGGAAGCTTTCTTTACATATAACTATGGGTGAAATACAGCTCCACTTGCTGCTGTTACTAACAGGATTTAACATTTACAAAACACTTTGAAGGAAAAAGCAGTATAAAAACGCTTTGTACTTACGCAGTTATTCCATGAGGTGAAGATGTACAGGCAGTCACGTTTGGCTCACACACAAACTAGCTTAACAGATGTTTGGTTCAGCACAGAGTTCTTTCCTTTCACCTAACTGGAAACCAGGGTATAAGCTGTAGCTGTACTGTATTTACCCTGCAGGCACAAATACATTCACCTTCCAATCATCACTCAGCTGCAGTGTAACTCATTCCACTGCAGGTGGTAATGCTGGCATTCACAGATTTCATCTCAACATGCTGTTTTGCTTGTACGTATCTGTGAAGAGACATCAACAGCAATGTTTCAGTAGGTTGAGAATGCAGCACCCCCCCCCCAGCAGCACACTCCTTTTATCTGGAAGTGTTGCCAGCTCAAACAGTATCCCAATGGTTGCAGAAGAGCACTTATGACCTGCAAAAAGAATGCTAACCCAGGCTGAACCTGTGTCACTTGCTCAAATTTCATTGGACTTTCAGAAAGCTACTTAAATACCTATACTGTGCCTCACATTATGATACTATTACTTACCTTACAACTGTATTTATATTTGAACAGCTGTATTTCTGAGAGGAAACCATTCTGAATAATTTTGTAGATTATGGTTAAGAAATAAAGACATACCAATGTTTTTTTTGGTCTCTGAAAGATTTCTAATATTATATTTTTTCCACTCTAGTTATGTTTCTAGAGGTAGATCTGATAGCAGCCTTCCAGTATCTGAAGGGGGCATATAAGGATGATGGGGAGGGACTCTTCATTAGGGACTGTAGTGGTAGGACAAGGGGTAATGGGTTAAAACTTAAACAGGGGAAGTTTAGATTGGATATAAGGAGGAAATTCTTTCCTGTTAGGGTAGTAAGGCAGTGGAATAGGTTGTCCAGGGAGGTTGTGAATGCTTCATCCCTGGCAGTGTTCAAGGCTAGGCTGGACGAGGCCTTGGGTGATATGGTTTAGTGCAAGGTGTCCCTGCCCATGGCAGGGGGGTTGGAACTTGATGATCTTGAGGTCCTTTCCAACCCTAACTATTCTATGATTCTATGAAATGGTGATTACACCACTTAATAGCCTCTATTTCAAAATTAAAGTGGCACTCAAGACATTTGGAGATTTTGGATTTGGGAAGAGTCAAGGTAATGTCAAGAAGTAACAAAGCCCCCAAATAAGTTATTTTTACTGTAAATTTTCAAGCATAAACACTGAACCTGCTTCCTTATGTATTAATTTTGGTTTAAGTTTTGTGAAACTGGAATATCAAAAAAGGATAAATAATGAGACACAGGATTCAGACTAGTCTCTCTCTGTTACTCATAAGATTCTATATAGCAGCTCCAGCTGAATTTTAAATACTTGCCCTGCAAGATTTTTGTTAGTTCCTCATAGCATCAGGTGGCTGGATACAAAAGGCATATTGACTCAACCACATATATAGTAAGATACTTCCAAGAAAGTCCTTTTCCAGGTTCAACCAGTGAAAATTTCCTGAGGCTTTATACCCATGTGCCAACAATCTAATACTATCAAAAGACAGACTTTCAAAGAGCAGTGGGCCAGGCTTGACTGGCACCTGACACTGGCAAAGGCGCCAAAGTTTATTTGTAGGCAAGTCACCTTCAAGACAGACATCTTTGCTCATTATTTAATTAGATTTCCTTTAAATCTTTTTTGGCAGTTTAATGGGACAAAACAAGGTCAGAAAGAGAAAAGGTGGCAAGGTCTAAATGGAAGATGATCCTGTTATCCTCTGCAAAAGATTTAAGAACATTTATGTCTTCAGAATACAACTGTATTTGAACAGTGTGTAACAGCAAGGAAAACATTCATCAAAGTACCATATTATTAAAACTAGCTTAGATGGATTTTAAATGGACCAGCCATTAGAAGCTATTGAGACCCACCTGATCGGCCATGAATTCTGAGAGGTTAAGTGTGACGGCTTGGCAGAACTTAAATATGGGGACTCAAATAATTGCACAGCTGAATAGAAAAGGCGGAGTTATAAACACCAATATAATTTGTTGATGCAACCATATATAGTGGTCCCTTTCTTTAATCTTTTATAAAGTTGCTAGGACAACTTTGTCTTGGCTAGCAGAGTACTAGATTTCAGTCCACACAGTGTAAGGGAGCAAAGATCCTGTGGCTTGATCCACTGATCCTGTTTGAAGGCCTGAGCTTCAATCTCTCTCGATCATCTTTCTTGCTTGGTCAGTTTTCTCTCAGGATGAACAGCTCACTTTAAGATCCTTGGCCCAAGCTGGGAGTAACCTGCTCTCTCTGCAGCCTGCTGTCTCTGAAAGGGTTGTTGTAAGATCTGCTGTAGCAGACAAACCTGTAAGTAATTAAAACAGGTTTTTATGCAAAATATTTTCTTGCAAACAAGAAATGTTTCTTCTACTTCATATTATGCACCCTCCTAGCTCCAGAAACTATTATTTTGGTTTACTATTTTTATACTTAAAGTTTGCTTACTGTTTACTATTACGAATGCTACTATTAATATAGTTGCTACTATCTATAAATAATACTATTACTACTTTTGTTATTATTGTTAATATTAATTGGTATTGGTACAGTGTTGGTCAAAGTGTAGTACTGGTTCAAAAAGTAAATGCAACAACTCTTTCATTAACAATTATGCCAATTATTAATTAATAAATATGTCAGGAAAGAATGAAATAATTTTACCTCTGAGAAATCATTCAAATTAGCTTTTTGCACTGCTGATTCTGCCATGCAATTCCTAATTATGTATCTAGGATTAACAGCTGAAACTAAAAGTATATTCAGTTAAATTTAGTTAGACATATTCACGAAAAGGAAACACAGTCATTGAAACATGTCACTGAAATCTTCAAGAAGGCTTAACCTGCAGATCAAGGAAAAAAGAATGCATAAAAAGGAAAAGGAACTAATCTACTTATTTTGATGAGCTGTTAAAGGAACTTTTTTCACTTGCACAATCAGTAGCGTCAAAGTACCAAACAAAGATTACAGTAATACAGAACACTGCACTGATACACAAAGGATTTCCTGTGGTGAACACCTGCAGACTTTTCAAATGTGATGAGTTTACCATGGCTTCGGTTCCTGCTATATTGTTGGAAAGCATATTTCAATGTTGTCAGTACCTTCCTGGAGAGCATAAAAATTAATATTACATTACTTAATTTGAATAGGAATTATTAAGATATTAATTAAAGTATATGTACTTAGATATCCCTTCTTCTATATCATGTATCAAAACTTTAGCCATAAAAGCCTCTAATGTTTATTTCTGCTGTATTTTTAAAAACTACTTTATCAACTTTCCTTTTAATTTCTTGTTAGGGATAGTGGGAGGTTCCCCTGATTTTTCCACAACTGTCTGCTGTATCTTTTTGGAAACACTGATAACCACTGCACTGCATCTCTCGCATGTTCCAGGCTGACTGTGTTTAAATAGCAGTAGGGAAATTGTAGGGACATAGAAAATTAAACTGATGAATTAGTAAATCAGGCTACATGTTACAGGACAGCAACTAAGAACTCATAAAAGACATCCTGTCAAACTATATGCCAAAGAGGACTCTCATAAGCACACATGGCTTTTATTATCAATTTTTTAGCAGATAGCGTCAGTCAACTGCAATTACAGCCTAACATTCTACTTCAGAAAGTTTTCCCTTTAATGAACAAAACAATGTTACTGATTAAGTGTAACAAACATTTCAAACTTGCATTGCAAATCTTAATTTGACATGAGTCTGCATATTTTGCCAAATTCAGTAGCTGATTATTATGAAGAGATGAATTAGTGATAACAGAGACATTTCACCCATGGACTTGAAACCGAAAGTCTGTTATTTTGGGACATACACAAACTCCATCTGTTCTTTCCCTTTCCATTTGTGTCTCAGCAGATTTTCTTTCCATAAATGTTAATTTTATATGTTTCTTAAAAAAATATACATATATATTTATTAAATATTCCTGTAAATACCATTACAGCGTATTTCAAATATGATTTTATATAAAGCAGAATATTCATCAAAATCACCATCCCAAATTTCCCTCTACTCAATTAGTAAATAAAATTTCTCTAACCAATTAGTTATGATGTGATTAATAAATTATATTAGGAGGGAGATGATCAGAAACAATATTTGGATAAAAGGATTAAACTGAATCTATTTCCATTTCCCAATACACTGTATTCTTGCATCTCCTTGTACTGCTTCCTCAGCTTGCAAACATAACTTGTTTATCCCAGCTGACTACCAAGACAATTGATGTCTTTGAGAACAGCTCTGACTGGCTCTTCCTAAGGTTCTGTGGTTAGACAATCACAGGACTTTATTCATATTTAATAGCTCCCCATACAGAATTAGTGCCTAGCACAGTGAACAGACTTCTCTGTAATAAAGCACTGCTTCTAAAAAGCACCATTTAAGCAGCCAACTAGAATTTACTGAAGCTATGTAATCAGTGAAACAATACTTGCATGATTATTTTATGTATCCAATACAAGTAAATTCTTTCTGTTTGAAATAGAATGATAACCATTTTAAACCACAAGATTTGACATACAGACGCATTACGCAAAGGGTCTTTATTTTGAAAAGTGATGGACAAAAAGTCACCCTATGCTGTACGTGCTGGACTCTGGCTGCTCATGTTCCTGCCAGGAAGGACAAGGTGAAGCTCTCTTACAAAATCAGAATATAGGCTGAAACCAGAAGCACCTCCGGTGGCATTTCCATTCCCTCCTTCATAAAAGCTGCACAGGTAATAGCACATTCCACCACAACATCCAGGTGCTGACTTCCATGAGAAAAAGGCAGAGGTACAACCCATCCAGATACAGATATTCTTCATGTTCACGTTACCCATGTTCTGTATGTACTCACAGATATTAAACAAAAGCCAAAAAATACAACTAGCTGTTTGGAACCCTGATAATCTCTACATAGTCTAACTGCTGAAAAATAGTGTTTTCCTACTTGGCAAAGTAATCTGCTCTGGCCAAGTTTTTTATTTCATCTGGTAAATGGGTTTGCAATAGCAAAGTGTGGTAACTATACAAAAAGAATATTTAAAGGGTGGAGAAGTTAACAAATGACTCATACAAAAAAACCCCATAACTCACATTAAACCCATGACTCATACTAGCAGGAGAATATTTGGCCCAGAAATATATTCTTAGCAATAGAAAACTGTCAAGTTTCACAGTGGCATTAAAAATATCTAATTAAAACAAATGACAAGATAATTATGAAAGAGTAAGACAAGCCAGATAAGAAAAGGACAAAGCAGAAGACATTCTGTGCCCTTATGAGGATTTTATAATCTGGTCTACATTTTTTTTCCTGTTTCTTTTGTAAAGAAATACAATTAAAGACTTGTATTGGGATTTGGATTGTCAAAACTTTTTTATCAACTCCTAAGTTTAGGCAGTACAAGACAAAGTGCTACTAAGAACTAAAAAGTAAATGAAGAGAGAAAAAAAGATAGTGATCAGCTTCAATGCCTCAAGGTAAGGTACTCTGAGGAGTGAGATATTTTACTACACTTAGTAATGATGAGGGAAAGGTGATGAATAATGAGGTGTAATAGCAATGTATTAAAGGTCGGTCAGTACTAAAGTCAGCAATATGAAATTTAGTGGGACTTACCAACCCACATAAAAGTCTAAAGCGCCGACAGTTTTGTCTTTAACATGAAATGCTAGATAAAAATGCACAGTTGACTGAGTTGAGCCAGCTTTCTGCTGCAAACTGTACTGACAAGAGACAGCTGTTACAAGTAAATACTTAAACAAAAAAAAAAAATCCAAAACAACCAAACAACAAACAAAACACAATTTAAAGAGACCACAAGGGGCATCAAAGAGATCTATTTAAAGGTATGATGCAAAAGAGAACAAAAGCAAGAAAAGAACTCCATAAAAAACTTCAGCCACGCTGTTATGAAGCAGCTAGCAAAAATGTGACAAGATTTGTTGGGTTTTAAAAGTAAAATTAAATTTCAAATATAACAACAAGAAATGAACATCAGTAGCCTGTTACAAATTTCTGCAGTTCTGCTGAATGAATATAGAGTGATGACTAATTATATGGAAGAAAACTTAACTAGCACAACCATGAATCTTTGCATATCAAGTCTGGACTGCTACCAAAACAGATCACTAGAACTACTGTGATCCTGAAAGCAAAACCTTTTCATTGTTTTGTCTGTCCTCTATACTACAAGATCCTCTGAGGTGCATGTGGAAACACATGATGCTGATTTGCAGAAGACCATCCCCAAACTAGGATCCTGATTTGGAATAAAAACTCAGAACGTCATGATTTTCTCTAAAAGCAGATTTAAAAACCACAGAAAAATATGAAGTGTGTTTAGACAGTTTTCAGCATCACATTTTAGCTAAGCAAAATAGCCAAGAGCCTCAGAGTCCCAAAGCTGAAACTTCTTAACCCTACCAAAACCCAGTACTAAACCAAACCTTCCTTCTTGGTAACTGTTCTTAAATTAACTTTCTAAGAACACAAGTAAAATAGTAAGAAATATCTAACAAAAGAGCACAGCCATTTCCTCTAGAAATGAGAAGAAAAGACCCTGCAAAGCAGCACAATGTTGAAGCTTATAATATCTCTTGTGCAGAATTTGATCAGATCCTGTATTTCCTTCATTCCCATTTGGTCACAGATTTTCAGTTGCTCATTGTATTTTACAGGCAAATTTCACAAATTTATCACAGCTGGTATTTCAACAAAAACTGTTCACCAAAGAAATCTCATCAGTTGCTCAGTGAAGGACAGAAAGTACAGACCACTTCTCCCATGTCATTTTTATGTATATCTGTGTGTCAAGACAGAAGTACAATAGTAATTATTCTGAAATCTAGCACAACCTAGAACCATAAAGACAAAAAAGGCATATGAAATCATGTTTGGGCCAGTTTACCAGATCTGCTTAAGATTTTGGAAAATCACTGCAGATTAACATTGCCTGCTTTGGCAAATACACATCTGGTGTTATTTTTACACTTGAAACTGCATCACACTTACCAATTCAATCTCAAGAGGTACATAATAACCCATTCTGAAAATAACTTGTGTTTACTCAGATCCCGGGGAGTACAGGACTCCTGAAGAGAAAGAAACAGTTAATGGTGGGAAATGAGAATTTTGTTCCTGTTAAGAAAAAAAACAAATTAAGCAAACAAATGTCTTTGGTTTAACCTGAGCTTGCAACTAAGCATCACACAGCCGCTTCCTCACTCTGCCTGGTGGGATGGGGAGAGAATCGGATGATGGGAGGGGAAAACTGAGGAGAACAGACACAGTAGGAGACAAAGAAGGGAGAGAAGAGAGAACTTGAAAAAGGCAATTGGAGAGAAATTAGACTTTGGAGTTGTCCAGTGCTGGACAACAACCACAAACGTGGCTTCCCTGGCTGACTACACTGAGCTAACAGCTGCTTCATACTGCAGCTGATGCAACCACCAGAGAAAGTAGCCAAAAAATAGAGAAAGTAGCAAAAAACAAGAGGAAGTAGCCAAAGCTCACAGACAAAGCATGAACTTCAGAGAAAGAACAGATTAGAAAGACATGCACATAGATAAAAGGAGCTAAACAGCAGATATACAAGAGAAAATGGGCAAAAGTTAAGTAAGGGAAATTAAAAGCAAGAACAAATTGAAGTTTTGATCACATCTGTGGAGCTTTTTTAGAGGAATATAATGAAAACCACATTTGAGTATAAAAATGAGTTAATATTACAGATGTGACTAAGAGCTGGGGGTCTGGCAGGTGGATTACAGGTGTGTGTGGGAGTCACGCATTAGTTCAAAGCTGTGCAGGGCTAAGCTGCTTTAGGAGGAATTTGAGAATGTTTCCAGTTAATACTAAACATAAGTATTCCCATAGGATTCTATCATTTCTTAGGTCAATTTTGGTGTGCGGCTTCAAAAAATGCAAGTGAACTACAGACCAATATGAAAACTTCCTTTGCTACTAGCAAAGTATTAATGTGAATAAACAGCAATAAACAGCAGGTGAAATAACTTTCATACTTAAAAAAAAATCTTTTTTTTAAAAATAAAACTTTCTACCAGCATAAAATTGTACCTGCTTTTACCACAGCAGTTCTGGGACTTGGAACCTGTGGGCTAGATAACACCCTTGTGTGGGAAAAAAAAAAGGTCTAGTTTTCTTTCCAGACCAGGTTCTTACAAGCTTTCTTTTCAGAATTTCTCCTCTGCACTTTTATCTACTGATTATTTGCCTAGCATCAAAGTCCAGTTCAACCATTTCAGTTATATTTCCACTTCTAAAGATTGCACTATATCCAGGTAAGAAGTTTTAATACTTCTCTTTTATACTTGGTCCTAAAGAATACATTTAGGCTGAGTTAGCAGCAACATGGGATGGGATATCAAGCTGAGCAGGACACAGTAACGAAATGTGTTCCTATGCTTCAAGTTACATTTAGAACCCATCTCCTGTCCAAGGAAGGGCAGAGGCCACTATGGGCTGAGATTCTAGCAGGAGTTTATGACAAGATAGAATTTCACTTATCATTAGATACCAAGACAAGTGGATGGGCCTGAGAGCAGAGGTTTAGGCCACCTGGTAAACCCATGTTAGGAATAGTTTGAATGACCCAAGGTTGAACCTTTCCTTATGAGCCCCTGTCCAACTTCATTTGTGTCTGATGAAATACTATCGGAAGGTATTCTCAAGCAACATACACACACACACACACACACACACACACAAAACAAAACAAAACAAAAGGAAGGGATGTGGGAGGAAAGCTCTTCCTAGCAGACCCATCTTGAATGTGAAATCACATTACCGCCTGTGTATGAATATTTATGACTGCTCAAATTGGACCTGTACCAGAGGTGGAAAATCTGACTTCAGCCCTCTTCATTAATGTATCTTTCATTAGCACTCTTTTTTAATGTATCCTTCCTTAACAGACACAGGCTTAACATGGGGTGGTAGCACAACACAGGTATACAAGTCTCCCTGTTCCTTAATAATGTAACAACGACACATTTCCCAGACAAATCATGGCTTGAGACATCCTCTATTATATCACGGCTATGTCCAACTTGCTTTACTCATTTAAGTATTCCTAAAATTGGATTGTTGTATTAATAACTCAGGAATGTGGAGCTCCTTTAACTGGTAATTTCACTGAGCTGTTGAAATATCATTTCGATGACATTTATATTGAAAAGTCATTTCAATGTGAGATCAGGCTTTGTATCTTCCATAAGCTAGTGAAATAAAGATAATTCCATCAGTGGTTTTGAAATATGTGGTATCCGTTCAGATCTTTGCCAACAAAACTAGCAAAGCAAACTCACTTTTATGAGGAAAGCAATCAAATAATTATCATCCTCATTCTCCCCAAAACCCATATTTGTTTTAAATAGCTCTGTAAAGCTGAAAAATACTAACAAAGTAAGGAAACTGTTACATAATATAATTTATATTATTGTGACAAGGAGGTTTGAGTTCTGGAACTGCATATGGATGTAATAGCTATCACCATAGTACTTCAAAACCTGGGAAGCTCTGCAAAAACAAAAGCAATGTCAGATCTATGGAAGTAAAATATTATTATGGGTACAATCCTACTGTACACTAAACAAAACTTCTTCTGACTGGTATCTCACAAACACTGTTATTCTGAATCTACTGGGATCTGTAGTGGGAAAAAGACTAAGGGGAAACAGTTTAACAGGCTTCAAATACACAAATAGCTGCTGCAAAGAAGAAAAAAATCCTTTTCATGCTGAGTAAGATGTCATGAGTTTAAACTGCACAACTGAAGGTTTATATCAGGAATCTTTACAATAGGATATTAAAATACTACCTCATTACTTCAGGAGGATGCATAGTTTTTATCAGTAAGCATCTCAGAGAACAAGCTAGATAAACTCAGAATAGAAAACTGCAGGCAAAGAACCTACCTTAGTGAAAAGAAAGTGGACAATAGAACATTAGGATCACCTTCCAGTCATATTTTGCTATTACTTATGACTAATGAAAACCTTTCTCCTCTTCCTCCAGCCTTACTCTGCCATTAGTTACTTCAGAACCAATTTCCACTTAGAAAATAAGATTTTTAAAGGCTAATCCCTTTCTTTCCTAATCACATATGGTGATTAGATGGTCTCCCATCTCACTAGTTTTTTTAAGCATTAAGATATTTTAAGGATTACTTACAGTTGCTTTTGCCTGAGATCCAATAAAGGTTTTAGAGCTTGTAACAGCTTGCTCAGATTAAACAGCAAAACATTTGCCTGGTTTCCTATTTTATACCTCCTTTCATCATCAGATGTGTTTGGAACAAGATCTGTCTCAAACAAAACATTACTTTTCCACAAGAGAGTAATTACAATAAGCAATGTTAAAATATTGAAGTGTATCCATTGTTACATTTACATAGCAAACTAATAAAAGCCTTGAAGTTGCTAAATATTTAAAATCAGATCACAAGGTTACTTATTTACAGTGAATTAACTCAAGATCTATTATTTGGAAATATATTTAAGTATATAAATATATTCCCCCAATCTGCAGCGGGGGAGGGGGGGTAAACAAGTGGCTGGTGGGTTCTTAATTGCTAACTGGGGTCAATTCACCAGATTGAAAACCAGAAAAGCCCTGTGGTTTTGTTTGTGTTTTTTTGTTTTTTCAAATACAATAGAAACAATTAAAACATTCTCATGAGACTTCCTTAATTTGAGGCTGCAATCTCACAAAAACAGCGAGATAACAACTGGTTCTGAAGATTATTATTTATAGGTTGCATCTGAGTAATCAAATAATATGCATTTACGTACACACTGGACCTGTATCTATCAATCCCAGATTGACTGAATTCATACTTTCAAAGAAACATTGCCATGACTGTGTTGGTCTGATTTGTTTTCACCCAACATGTAATTGTTGTGACTATAAAGCTAGAGTATGATGCATGCAAACTTATTATATAACACTTTTGCTTTTGGCTGTTTACAACAACAGAGGTTTTCATTTTCTAGGTTTCTGTTGTAGCATCTGTTCAATTCATGAAGTTCAACTGGAAACACTCTTATGAAAATAGGTTTAGTAGTGATATTTCATTAAAAAGATTTTTAGTACTTGAATTGCAACCTGTATCATAAAACTGGCCTCTGATAATTTTTTCCCCCCTAAAACTGTTTAAACATCTCTTAAAACTCCTAATAATGTTAGTTTTTACGTACACAGAAACTACATAAAGAATTTATTTTAAGTAAAAAAATACATTTAAAAATAGGTGGTACACTTACTTGGGTCATGAGAATCCATAAATCCAAATGGACTGTAATCTATTGTTACAGATAATAAACTGAAGTTATCTGTATTGCACACACCTACAATTAAACAAGAAGAAACAGAAGTTAAAATTCTACCTGAACCATGTGGTCGCTAGAAAATCTGCTGTGAAATAGATAAACTGAATCTGCAGAACTTTGGAGCAGTTACCTTTCAGAAATTAGACTCTGGAAAATGAAGCTGTCTCTCTCACTCGACCTGACATGTATTTTAAGGATGAAAAAGAGAAACTGTTACTGCATTATCTTGCATCTGATTTCTATACCTAGGTGGCACTGTTTCCTTTTCATTTCAGTGCTGCACAGTACTGAAACAGCATCTTGCAAATCGGTGATTAGCTGCTTCCTTGCAAGTTCACTGTGTGCTATATTAGCAAGACAATGCTATTGTATTATTTATAATATAAATCTGAAGCAAAGGTGGTCAGCACTGTATCCTATTCACTATAAAAGGCCATGTTTTTAATAGATGCATCAAATTCAGAGCAACTAAACTTCTATATGACATCAACATGTGGTCTTTGTACATCAGGCTATCCCAACAATTCTGGGAACTATTGCTCCTATATTCCTGCTTCTGTCAGAAACACTCATGATTTGAAGGACTGGAATGTACTCCAGCTGAAAAAAAAACCTTTCTATATTAACGCATAACAGATACTGCTGTAGGTGAAGACAGCAGCAGAACTGAAGAACAGTGACAAATAAAAGCCGTCTTTAAGTATATGACCATAAAAGTTATTCCTGTAAAGCCAATGCCATCAACTGCAGCTTACCATGTGCAAACCCCACAGACATCCACAATGCAATCAGATCTTCA